TTTCGGACTCGCAAACTATTCGAATTCGATATTGGTTCGTGCTAAGGGTACAGTGCGCTCCATCTGCCTTTTCCCCTGTAATCTGAGGGTAATGACGGTTCAAATCTTTGGTAATGGCGAGATTTATTGTAATTTTTTCAAATTCTATTTCATGTCGGCGTTTTGTATACATACAAAATAGTAGTCGACAACTCTGTTCCTAGATATTTTCGACTAATAAAGATTTATTGATGTTGAATTGCAAACTTTAATAACTTCAACAATTTTGTTGCTAATAAGTGTGATTGTAAGTATTCGTCCTATCCTATTTTTAGAATATTGCAAGATTCTGTTAAACAGGTAGTTAAACTTTCTATGCTGATATCTATAGTTTAAGAAAATATCTACGTTTACTTCTTGGTTGAAAATAAAAAGATTTATAATTTTTATTTTTTAAGCATGTAACTGCTTGATTTTTATATCTAAAGAAAATATAACTAGAAAAAATTCCACGCGGACCAGGCAGCAGACGGGACTCGAACCCGCACCCTTCGCTATCCGGGCGAATGCACTGACTAATTATGCTACCGCGGCCCGATACGATACGGCTACGATCTTTAAATCTAACGGTAGTTATATTTTCTTTAGATTTAAAAATCAAGCAGTTACATGCGTAAAAATAAAAATTATAACTATAATTGCTATTTCTTCTTTCAAATGTTTAATACTTGTAAAAGTATTCATTTGACATTGTGGATTACCTACATTGCGAAGAGATGGCGCTGCCTTGAGGGCCGAGGTAGCATAATTGGTCAGTGCATTCGCCCGGATAGCGAAGGGTGCGGGTTCGAGTCCTGCCTGGTCCGCGTGGATTTTTTTCTAGTTATATTTTCTTTATAAAAAGATTTGATAAAATATACAATTAACTATACATACTTAATTGCAAGTTTAATGATTATTAGGTACCTAGATTTATTAACAAATCATACAGTCCGTTTGGAAACAATTACCTAATTCTTCTCTTTTGGGCTTCTAAATATACCTATGTACATAGGTAGTAGTCACAGAACACAGAAAGAGGTTAGAAGGGCTCTGTGAGCAAATGCTCATAGCTTGACCAAAGCTTGGTTCTGATTGCGTCGTTGCTCCCGAGTGTGAGCGCTGATTGGTTCGATTGTTTGACGTCGCGTCGTTTGATTGGCTATTATCCATTAGGTGGAAGTGTAGTGGGGGTAAGCCGGTGACATCGGTTCCCGTACAAACGGTCTCCGATCACTCTTCTTACCTCTCTGTGTTCTGTGGTAGTAGTGATAAAGATTCCAGATTCAATTTGAAACCAAATTGAGCTTTTTTCAAACTTTTCATAACATTTTTGTTTTATTCAGATTCTTGGCTTTATAACTTAATAAATAAGCGAGCGCCTGCATGTTTTATTTTAATTAAATATATCTTGTGACAATATCGTAATCATGACAATATAATAATGTAAGATAAAGTATCTAAGTTTATAAAAAGCTTCATAATGTGATGCCGTAAGGCACTGAAGTTACTTGTTGTTTCTGTGTAATTAAGTATATTATACGCCTAAAGTGTTGATGGTATAAATAAAGGTTCTAAAAAATATATCGTGTGACTGTCTTTCTGTTTTGCAGTATGCAAACCAGCGCCTTTCTTGATGACCTCTGTGGTGGAGTGGCATGTTATGTACACCGGGTTTCAAGGTGATGTCCTGGGTTCGAATCCAGGTGGAGCAAATTTTTACAAAAGTTCAGAATAAAAATAAAAATCAGCTTCAAGATTAAACAACTTTTATTGAACTATCTACTATTTATCTTTAAATCAAAGAAAAGGTTCCAGTCTTATGATAATCGCTGGTACAAAAATAAATTCTATTTTCAATATTTGTAATAATCATACCTATATTGGTAGTTTTAATAAAGGGCTTGATCATAGTGTTGAAATCACAATACAGCTCGGAATCACCGTATAATGTGTAACAATATTGCTACTATTTTATATTAATAATTTCATAATCATAACCCAACAAATATTAATATTCTTACTGCACAGATCAACGATATCTAATACCCTAGATCAACGATATTAAATATCCTAGATACACCACAAGCGCTCAAAATGTGTCCCAATCAAGAAGTGCTTGACTCCACTCAAGCACTTCTTGGTTCACAGTCACGCGCGGACCTTGAAAAGTCAACATGCCGCTGACCTCCGTGAAAAAATGCGAAATATATACTTATAGTATGTTAAATGACGTTTTTTCGACAGGTATCTAATCAATATTTGTTAATTTAACGCATTTGAAGCAAATTTTGTTTTAATGCTTACTATAAACTGATTTAATAGAAAATATTTGTGATATTTAAATGCATGGTCGGTAATATAGCCGCCTCCTTTCTTTGCGGTCCGTACCTACTATATTGCTAACAGTGCATTCAGAATTGCGCGTAGAGTCAAAGAAATAAGGTCTATATTCTTCCGCATATAGCAATAAGTCGTAAAATTTTACGAGCTTACATATCTGACTGTCATAAATCTTTGACGCATGCGTTTTAATTAAGACCTTATGTTGTGTGCTTTAAAGGTTATTTTCAATGTTTAAATAATGCCTTTTATGGTTTAGACTGCGCGATCATCTTACGGAGCTTCGTGGATCGTCCAATGTACCTTTTGGACAGGTTTCGGGCATGATTTTGTTCGTGTTGGTGTATCTAGAGTATTCTTCTTCTATTTAGAAAATGGCGGTGCACTTTTGTGAATTTCGCCAGACTCGAGTGATTCAGCTTGGTTGTTCAGTAGGAATTGACTTTGCTTTTTTTTAAGTATGTTGTGAAAGCACAATATGTGAAAGGAGTAAACAATGTACTTGAATTTTTGTAATTGGATATCTGTTGTCTTATCCGAAAGGTAGAGAAACACAAAAAAAAGTCAGTAATGTTAGTTGGTTAGTCTAGAGACAAACAATTACAAGCGTATATTATTTTTGGATATATATTCACAAAGTAGGATAATAAAGGGAGAGTTAACATAGGTTAGGAGTGTTTTAAAATTCATAGGTTTGGGAATATATTATTATGGTGGAAGGATGTCATAGAGTGAAACCGGGTATTTTGGGCAACTAAAGAAAATTTAATATCGTTGCCCTAGATACAACATCAAAAGGTACATTGGACTATCCATGGAGCTCAAAATTCAATATAAGGCATTATTTGAACATTCAAAGTCACCATTAATGCATATTATATAAGGTCTTAATTTAAACGAATGCGCCAAAAAGTAATTACAGTTCGAAAAACAAGCTCGTAAAATTTTACGACTTGTTGCTAAAGAGGGAAGAATATAGACTTTATTTCTATGACTTTATATCGTAATTCTGAATGCGCTGTTAGCAATAAAGCAGGTACGGAGCGCGAGGAAAAGAGATGGAACCGAACATGCATTCGAATATCACAAACATTTTTTATTAAATCAGTTTAAAGTAAATATGAAAACACAATTTTCTTCAAATGCGTTAAATTAACAAACATTGATTAGATACGTGTCAAAAAAACGACACTAAGTACTTTATGCATTTTTTTCGCAATTTTTCCGGAGCTCTGCGGCATGCTTACTCTACAAAGGTCCGCGCGTGACCACCGAGCAAGTCAAGTAATCTATACGCGTGACTGTGAACCAAGAAGTGCTTGGGTCGTGTTCAAGCACTTCTTGATTGGGACACATTTAGAGCGCACGCGGTGTACCTAGGGGTATTAAATATCGTTGGCACAAATACTCAGATGTTAAACTGTCTGTATGAATTCTGAGTACCTATTAATTTAATTAAAATAAGAAACACACAAAAAAAGAATGACCGTATGTGTTTTCTTTTGCCTTATCTGCCGTTCTCAAACTAAAGTGCGGCTAAGTGACTTATGGTTGATTTTTCAGTCTTAAATTGCAGCTTATACAGTGTTTTGTTCTCTATCGATCTGTCTTTAACAAGTATTCGTATCTTTAACAATTTAAGTCTAAAAATCCGTCATGTGATGAATGGTTACAAAATAGCAATAATTTAAAGTTTACAACATTGAATTTTTGGCAATATCTCAAAAGTGAGTTTTGTCATTTAGGCGCGTTTTAGCTTAAGAACGGCAGTTATGTGATAAGTATTTCGTGGTATTGTGCCAGTTAATACAATTAAGAGTAGGCAAACCTTATGCTGTAAACCTTAATTAAAACACTATCGTTTTGCTTATTACTATTCGGGTTTAATTCATAATAGGAACAGCCTATAATAGTAAAGGAAGTCTCTCTCACTCAATTAAATTTGATGTATCATTAAACATTTTTCTTTCATTGTCTTATTTTAACATGATCGCAAAAACAGTGACAACATCAAGTATGAATAAAGATAATTAATCTGAGTGGGGCCGTTAAGTCGTTGTAAATTTAATTTTGAAGTCATCATAATTCAGCAGTATTCTAAATATGAAATCAAATTTGAAGTGATTATTAACAAAACGGCCACGTAAAAACACTTCTTTGATGTACAAAACAATTTAATATAATCAAGTAAGTCTACATCAGACATATTGTATTTGATCAGTTTGTTTGTCACAATATATCTCCTATCTATTGGATATTAGATAATATTTTTATTGTCAATATAACATTATCATTTCTATTTGATTCAACACGATCTAAATAGGACACCAAATATAATAATATTACGAATTAATGAAGTGCAATTAATTACATCTACAAGAATCTTATTCATAATCTTAGTTTTGTTATAGATTAATTTGGATAGCTTATCTTACTAAAGTAATATAAATAACTTATTCTGAAGCAAAGAAAAAAATACACTTAAGTATTTATAAAAATAAATGTTTGCCTAGGCTGCCCGCATGAATTAGGTACTTTATAACATAATATCAACATAATATAAAGCCAGTCATTTATTGCTTAAACAAGTTTCAGTCATTAATTAAATAATATCTATATTGAAAATTTAAGAGCAAACACTATATTTGGACATTCTCCGACCCTCCTTGGTCTGTATCAGTTTTCTTCATTTTCTTGGCTCGTATGTCAGCCATTGTTTGTTCGATCGAGCGCTGATCTTTCTTGTTCTCACTAGGGACTTCGCCATAACTCTTATTCATGTTCGTTTTCTGTGCAGCGTTGATGGCAGCATCATGACCAATAAGGTGGGCATACTTGTCCTTGTAAAACATTCCGCTTATTTCATCTTTGCCTCGTTTACGCTTCTTGTTGTTATCCTCCTCGTGTTCTAGGGCAGCCTGTTTTTGCATTTCCAAATGTCTCTGTGCCATTTCAGCAGCTTTCTCCTCATCCCATATACGTCCTTCTCTACGCACAGTGAGCTCGTCTTGGGTGGGACCCTTTTCTTTGGTATAAACTACTGCATACCGATCTATGCCTTCTTGGCCAAAAGAGAAGACTTGCAACCCTGCAGTTTCGGCGATCTCCCTTATAATAGCACGGTACATCTGTTCCATTGGATCAAACTGTAAATGTGGCTTTGTACCATCTTTGACAAAATTAGCAACCTTTTCTTCAACCCTCCTTCTAAACTTGTTCAACATCATTTTCTCTTCTTTTTTCCTGCGTTCCATTGCTTCTTTTTGCTTCTTCATAGCATCCTTCTGAGCCTCGCTGGCTGCAGGTGGCTTTTGCATAGAACTAAGGATGGAATCTAAGAGATCCATTTTGAATTATTAAATCTGGTTTTCAAAGCAAAATGAGGTGTAAGAAATAATTTCAGGGATACGTTGCTGCCACCGGCTTTGTATTCTGAAGTTCTCAACTAGGGAATCTGTTTTTAGTCCTCTGTATGTTAAAACATTTAAGGAAGTATCAATTTGTGCACAAACCTCACTTCCAAATGAAAAGCTGTCTTCGGCAAACTCCAGCAGTTGTTTTAGAGGAGGCTGCAAAGGTGTACCCCTAATTAAAGGAGTTGTTTGCTCCAAATCCAAAGTTCTACAAGACTCCAGTAATATTTGGTGTTTATGTGATAATTTCTCAAACAAATCTTCCACTTTTGACCTGGAATTAAAAATGGGAAGTTCTTAAACTGATTATAAGGAGGTTTAATACACTGTTACCTGATTTTATTCACATATTACACCACAGTCACAATAACAATTTAAATTTCCACATAGTAGTGCTCACAGTAGCGTTAAGAGAACTCTGATAATTTGCTGTGTACTTTGATTTTTTTTAATGTAAAAACCTAACATATCAATCACCATCATCATCATCATCAGTCTATGAATGTCCCTACTGCAGGAGCACATTTCTTCCCTATGGATGGAATAGTGAGATTGGGCCATGACCCATCATGCAAGCCCTGTCCATTGGTGGGTGCTAACGACTGCAGATGCAATCGAGACCGACGGCTTAACGTGCCGTCTGAAGCACGGAGGAGCTCCGATAGTAAATTTCAGGTCATCCGTTCAATGACTGACCACAGCGAAACTTGCTGAACTTCAACGATTGCAGCCAAATGCGTTTTAACCACTTGCGCCACAGAGCTCCTCATATCAATATAAGGAATAATAATTAAATTACAAAACATGTTATCGAAAGAAATATTTAAATATAAACCACATTTGCTCTAGGAAGTTTATATGAACACACAGGTAACATAACATTTAAATAGGAAAAAAAAAATCTTATATCATGACGATGGGAAGTGAAACAACTGCTTAGAAAGCACCAGAAACTTTGCACAAGTCTATTAATTGTAAACTATTGTAGTGATGGTGTAGAAATTAGTACTATTTCATTTGAGCATTAACTTTATTAATAAAAAAGCCAGCAAAGTGCAGGGGGTCTCGCGCAAGGGTGAGGCAAAAGATTGTTGATGATTGTGGAGTTGAATGGCTTTTCCTTTCAAAGGAAAAATCATTTGTTTGTTTTTTGTCACAACTTACAAAATAATTATGAAATGGTGTTTCCAGTATTTTTTTTGTTTAAATACAGCAAAAAGGACAACATATGCTCAAATGCCACATTCCTTACTAGTTTCGTTTTTGGGATAGACCCTTACCATAATGGTCTAAAAATTACGACTATGAAGGACCCCCATTTCTTTTTTTAGAAATTAAAAGTAATAAGTACTTCATACACTTTCTACTTACTCAACGACCTTTAGACAAAAATGCCTCACATGTTGTGGTAAAAAAGAAAAAAAAATGTCTTCCTTTCATGTATGGGACCCCCATGAAAAATAAATATATTGAAATTTTAACTGGTTTTGGGGAAGCATTCTTCATAAAATACACAAATTTCAATTCTGTAACTCATTTTGCTTATGATTTAGAGACCTGTGACATATGTACAGACACAATGTGGTTCCATTTTTACCCTTTGGCTATGAAAACCTAATAAATTATGGACAACTCACAACATTTGTTTAGACATCAACTTAATAATGAACACAGCTAGGCAGTGTATTGTATGGAAAGTAAATAAACTGAATGTGTCTTTCTTAAATAATGAAAACAAAAAAAAACAAGCAAGAAGCGAGAATTTCGCCTGAGACTATTTCATTTTCGAATAGGAATCACAAACAATTTTCGTGAATGAATGTAATGAGTTATGTTTTTGAGATTTTTATTCCACTTTTTGGATTATGTTTTTTAACTTGGAAACAATATTACTTTACAATTTCTTTATGACATTAAAAAAACCTTCATTGACAGTGTTAGCCGACTAATTTGTAGAGTTGATGCAATCAATTATTTGTATGTCAACCTAAATTAGTCGTTTTATACTTTGAAGTATTAGAAATACAATAATTAATAAAAAATTGGTTTATTTGTTAATTTTACATGCTAATAATGTTACTCACGCTAAGCAGCGTTGATTAAAAATACTCTAGCTGTTATTTTAGGCTTAGTTTAAATAAAAGTCTCAAACAAAAATGGAAAGGTAACACTTTTGTCGTCAATTTATGGTTAAATTTTTTAAAAATTGACTTACATTTTCAACTTTCGTTCGAAAGTTTTGTGAATTAGAGTAGGCTTCGAGAATTTAGTTTTCAAACTATTTTCAGACAAACGAATTTTGAAATCAAAACGAAACAGAGTAAGGAAAGTGCGAAATTTGGATTGAATCTTGTTTTTTGTTGAAATAGAGTAGGTGTCCAGGTCCTTTAAGGAGTCATGGAGAGGACTAAGACTGCACAAACCATTCATCAAGTAAGTGACAAGTAAGATTATTATATTAAAACTAGCAAACAAGTGAACCAAATGTTCACCAAAACCTGATTTCTCGAAAACCGGAAGTGCTACTTTACTCAAATCCGGTTTGTAGTCTTATCAGACTATTCTTAACTTATAACTTAAATATTCTCTTTATCTATCTCTTACGGTTTGGCCGCAAACAGCACCACAGACAGACAGACTTGTCTAATAGATAAGAGATAATAATTATAATAACTTTCCCTCAAATATTAAGATCACAAAGTTTTATAATAAGCTCTCCACACAGCTTTTATTTAGCAGAATAATAATGATATTGTTACTTAAATAATAACACTTACAATTCACTCCTTATTTCTAGAATTTCAAGAGATATCTTGTTATGTAGCAATCCAGATAGTTTGTATTGTAAATCTTCAAAGCTTTCCAAAGGAGTGCCCGTGAGTTCAGCCCTGAAATTAATCAATAAAATCAATAACTCAGATTAGTAAAAGCACAATGATAGAAAAATGCTTTCTCCACAATTTTGACATGATTTACTTATTTAGAAACGGGCCGACATCAATAAACAATCAATGTTATTTCTGTAATACATTTAGGTTATACCTATGACTGTGATTTTTTAATCTTTTCTACAATTGCAAAGAAGACCAATAAAACAAGTTGTACTTACTCCTGAATGTTATTGCAACGTTTTATTAGTTTATTTATAGATATTGCGCAGTCTTGGCAATTCTTCAAACACGCTTTGGATGTGTTATAAAATTCTTCAAAAAAAGAAAAATAATCAACAATTTCTTTCTGTATTTTACTCTCCATTATAGATGTTAGCTTCCATTGTAGCAGTTTTTCATCAAGTCTAATCTATACCAATTTCAGATTTCCGAATTTAACAAACTCTTTCTTAAAATTTATCAACAACACCGGACAACAAAGTCGGTCATTTTAGAATTTGTCGAAGTCGAATTTCGTTTCGTTTCAAGGAATTTGACAGTACAGACTACACAGAACCATGCGTTTAATTGAAAAGGATAGAATGCTGTCAAGTGTACAAAGGTTTACAAATAGCAAACACGAATATCCAAGTGAAGTGCTGGCATGAATGAACAGCGAAATAGTAAATAGCCACCACCAGGCCAGGCCCCACCACGGTGGCTACTGGCTATGGGTGCGGCCAGAGTGCACTCAGATTCAGACTCAGATTCAGATTTCGAAAACAAGCGCGAGAAATAAACAGTGTAGTCGAAGGGTACGGCCAGATTGCACTCCTGATTCAGATTCAGATTCAGACTCAGAAAACAAAGCGCGAGAAAAAGCAGGCAACCTGCTTAGACTACACTGTTTATTTCTCGCGCTTGTTTTCAGAATCTGAATCTGACTCTGAATCTGAGTGCACTCTGGCCGCACCCTATCACTTGGCTATGATGATGACAGTTTTTAATTATTACAAACTATCATCTCCCTATTCTAAAGAGGAGAGCTATGCCTCAGCTGAGGGGCCATAAAAGGCTGATGATGATGACTAACGTTAGAAATTTTAAAATATCAGTAGTGGAATTTTTAAATGTCTATTTCAAATCACTCGAATAGTGATGTTCCTTCTTCTACAACCGGGGACGGGGCGGTCAACGAAGAATTACCGGTTTTAAAAAAAAAATATTAATAGGTGCCCTTGACCTTGTCTGATGAATAAATCTATGAAATAAAAATCGACGGGTTGCACTCCGAGAGTAGGGACACGATATCGAATAGAAAGTATCGATACTGTACTCATGAGTAGTATCGGTAAAAAAGTATCGTACTCGTAAAAGTATCGAAACAAAAGTATCGATACTTCAAAGTATCGAGTACATTTCATAGGGCCTTATCGGAGCCTCTGTGGCCTGATGAACACCCCGCCCCCGGGGCTAATGAACAGTTAATGAAAAGAAAATAGCTGTGATTTCTGACACTACAAAAGTGTTCATTAATATTACATTCATAATTAAAATGTTAATTAAAAAGATCGAAATCTTAAACAATTTAAAAGTATGAAGCTTTTCAGATTTGTTTCAAATTAAACTTATTTTTCATGAATTTTAATCATTAAAAAACATTGTACCCACTTATGTTAACTTGAATCTGACACGTAGTTAACGGCTGCCATTGGCATGCTTCACTCAAGATTATAATTATAGAAGAGGTTACGTCCGTCTTTTTTTCAGGTGGTTTCAAATAGGTATACACAGCACAGACAGAATAATAGTGTTACACTTGAATAAATCAAATACAGTCAAGCGAAAAGCACAATAAACGGCCAATCAATCACAATTCCCAATAATATGGTCGCTAAATAAATAACTATGAAACAAAACAAAGCGCAAATAAACACAGTCACAGATTGGAAAGAATTTGAATATGTCAGTTACTGACTTTATAACAACGCAATAGGGTTTTTGACAGTATTGAAAATAAAGTGCCAATTGTTAGCATCTGTGTTTAGGTTGAATATTGGCAGGGGTTTTTACTATTTTTACAAAAAAAATATTCATAATTTTACTAAAAACTAACGAAAAAGATATTAGTTTTCTTATCTATTGTCACGTGACCCAAAACGCTTGGGATTGGCGGAGCCTAAAATGACGTCACACGCAAGTAAACTTCCGGTTAAAGTGACATTACATTGTATCGTTTGACGTTTAAATAACAATCGTGTGACGTCACACACTAGTGGGACGCCATATTGTCCAGAGAAACGTTTTCGCGGCAATTTGAAAATGGAGTTTTTGATTTGGTTATTTTTACTGAAATACACGACAGAATGATGAATATCCACTTTTTACGGACTCCATAAACATTAGGCAATAACGTGAGATCGTTGCCTAAAACTTGTCAAATACCCTATGGAACGTTTTAGAAGGTTTGCTATGATTTAACAAGATGGCGTTGCCATCAATATGAGACGCTTATCCAAATTTTTAAAGGTATCGATACTTGCTAAAAAGTACTGATTTAGTAAAAGTATCGAATACAAAGTATCGAGTATAAAAGTATCGGTATCGAAAGTATCGGTATCGAAAGGAAAAGTACTCGATACCACAAAGTATCGATACTTTTTTCGTGTCCCTATCCGAGAGTGCCGGCAGAAGTGAAAACTTGAATATTGTCGTTGTGCATTTTTGATATTTGGGAAGGTTAGGGAATAATTTTGTACGAAAAACTTTAATTATCAGTATAAAGGTACTATCATTTATGTGGTAAAATACAATATTTATTTATTGCGCTATGGTATATAAACATGACAATTTATATTAGGTTCATTAAAAAGATTATCTCTCAGCAAAATAAACTTACATGAATCTCATTTAAGCGCACCTAGCAACATCTATTGTAAAAAAATGTAGTTTCTTTGCAATAAAAGTTGAAAATCAACAACCTTTCCAATTTTATTGTTTTCGTCTTACGAATTTTCGATTATTCATCTTGACGCGATCAGGCCACCTGTCCTGACACGAGTTTACCCATATTTTACCCATACAAAAAAAGGGTACAACGCCGCTAAAGAAGTTTTCACTTCAAAATCTCTTTGATTTTTAATAGCTTCTATTATTATAAGTTATTATGAGTAGTTTAATTCACTCTTTACTTTTAATCAACGTTCGGCAATATCTATCCGCCTTTTGGATTTCGTTTATAGTAGCTAGAGCTTGACATTTGTTATTAACGCATTATCCGTCGTTATTAAGTAGTAAGTAGTAGTAATTTAACGGATAGATGTCAAATTGTCAAAGCGAGAACAAATGGTTGTATGTCAGTTGAGTTGATTCGGTATCGTAGCGCAGCGTAGAGCGCGCGCCGGGTGCCCTCGGCACAGTAGAGAAATTTTCATTAGTCTACAACGATCACACATGGAGGGTGCACGTCCGTTTTCGCCGCGATTTATTCCGATATAGATGCGCCACTGGTTGATATAAAACAAGTGTACGAATGATTATTTTAAAGTGAATTAAATAATGGGAAACGAGTGTAATTGGTGTTATATAACAGAATAAATGTTAAAGCAAATTTAGTGTCTTGTCAAAAATGAATGGCAAAATGCACAGTGAAACCGGTGCTTTCTCATCTGACGACATGCGTGCCGAAATATTAAATCCCTTCGTTCACAAATTGGAACTAGACAACACATTCGATAAAATAAAGGTAAAGAAACTTTAGAAGAAGCAATAAATATTGAACTAAAAATGTATGGTTTTGCTAATTTACAACCGTGTCGAAAGCCTTCTTGCGCAGACTCGAGATTACCCATGGGACTAGATAATTATTGTGTACGAAGAGATATTTATAAATAAAAATAACTTGATCAGTGACTAGAGAAATGCTTTTTAACTAAGTAAAATTTTAAAGAATAATTCACAAATAACCTGAATTTTCATTCTGATGTAGGCATAGATAATATGAAAAAGGGAATCATATTTTCTCTATCTATTGAACACTTTGGCCTAGCAGAAGTTAAATAATATCCAAATTTAGAATAGTTTATAATGCTAACTCATATAGCACAAACTATGCTATTAACATGGACAATTTAAACCATAATACAGTTCAAAGAGGAACTTATTAGGGTAGGAAATTTGAGGCAGAAAAGTCAATAAACTCGATACTACAAAAAAATACGAAAAACAATCATACCGGGACATGGGCGGGATAAGGATGACATCGAAAATCGGTTCCTATAGCTGCATTTTTTTTTAAATTACCGATGTAATGCAAATTCTTGGAAAACACCTCGAACTGGAATAAAAATAACATTGTTATAAATTTCGTGGTAATGCCCAATTACATGAGCAATCTTTTTCGATAGACCAAATTAGTAAAACACGTTTATGAAAAAAAGTGTTAGATTAAAGAGACGTCCATAAAATCGAACTGGAAATTGTGAGAGTAGCACAATCATAAGTGAAAGTTGAGAAAATACAAAAAAAGTGATTGTTATAAACAGCCCTCTTCTAGTAAATTTCTTTAAATTATTTTAAGAATTAAGTTATGAACGTAATGAAAGATAAGCTATGGAAGAGAATAGGTCGACGCACTTGAAAGTTCCTAGTAACGACTTCATTTCTGAGGGAAAGTCGACAATATCAATTCACTATTGCAGCCAATATATTAAAGAGATCGCATTTAGGATTATCACAGGTCCTATTAAAAATTTTATATTTTACCTTTTGATTTGTGCCGTAAATATGGGAGGGAAACCATGACTCTTGGCAACTTGGAAGACCATTTGATTTGAGCTATAAATATAGAGAGAAGAAGGTCAACCAAACAAGGTTTATTTTCATTGAAGCATAACATTTTTTAGTTCAAATCGCTACGTGCGTGGTCGTAACTTATATACCTCAAACCTCAGTTATGTTCCAATGGAATATGGCAACGTAGTTATCCCGCATTTTTTTTACACAAATTTTAAAATACAAATTTCTTTAACAATATGTAAAAGCACACAATTTAATTATGAGTTTATTATTAGACAGCGTATACCTTAAACGAACGAAACAAAACTCTACTAGAACCTGCTAACTATTTATTTATAGTTGATGATGATAAATCATTCAATCAACTGTATTCTGTAATTCTTACTCACAGAAAAATAGAGAAGGGGTATATTTTCTTTAATTAGAAGTGTGCAGGCTCTGTCCTTTTAATTTCGTCTTTGCGTCTTATTTTCCTCTAAGATTCAATTTTTTGGTTACATATAAATGTTGAAGATGTTCAAAGCTTTTAATTAGCTATCATATCGCATACTTCGATAATATATTTAAAAAGTTAAATTCAAAAGTAGTCATTTAGCTTCTATCAATTAAATAGAGGCACTTAAGAATAACGGTTTAAGAGTTGCTGTATTTACTACAATTACACTAAAGAAGGTCAAGGCGACTTTTTATATTAAATTTGGCACGGTTCAATACAATCTGCCACAAACACCTGAATGCACGTTAAACAGTAAAAAATAATGTATGTGTAGCTTGAGCTTTATTTTTAATGCTAAGATTAGTCAATTACTTTCTGTGCTTGTCTAAATAACCTGAATATAGTACTACAATGCCAGATTTCAGCTTCTAAGTTATCAAAGTTAATTTAAATGGTTATCTATCACAGAGCAGTACCTAAGCTAGACTCATATACGGAAGATCGGCAATTATTAAATTGCCGCTATAAATGTCAATTCGAAGTGAAAGGAAAGTCCGAACGAATGTCGTTATAACATCAACTAGCACATTCGACGGCGGAAGAAATGTGTTTAAGCTTGCAGCAGCTGTTGGATAACGAGAAACTTTACTCAAGTTATGATTTCTTGTTATTTAATTAAGCGCAGTGAATGTCATACTAATAAAACAAAATGAGGTCAAAAGCGTGTTCCAAAGGCTTTCATTCTATGTAAACAAAGTTTGAGATGAACAATTGAAAGTTATTGCTGGGGAAATAGAATAAAAATACATCTCTCACGTAATACTTCAGAGTTGTAATGATTATACGGATGAAATTCCATGTCTTTCTTAATCTTACTATGGACTTATGTTTCTTTTTGATTATTTAATTTTGTTTGATGCCACTAAGTTCAGTTCAGTTCTGAAATTGAGATCTTATTTTTGTTTGGGACCATTACTCTCGGACTAAGGCCCGTATTATAGAAAGATTCTCAGTGATTGATCTAGTCTTGAGCATAGTTAGAAAGGGATGTCGCTATATATAGCACATAGCGATATCCCTTTCAATTGTACTCAAGTAAAGATCAACACTTGTTGTCAATCTGTAATACGGGCCTAAGACGACGCTAAATGCCTATGGATCCCATTTTTTTTAAATGACATTGTTCAAGCTGTTGTAGACTTGAGTGATCCACCCACTTGTACCGATTGATTTACATCATGGTGCCAAAGTGCGTAACACATTCGACCACTAACCCCGGTTGTATTCTCCCGCTTAAAAAAAGGCTATCAAGGAAAAATAAAAAGTAAATCAAAACTTACGGAAACCGTGCTGACGAGCAATCGTTTAAATTGTTGCGAAACCGTTGCAAGGCGCTTCAAAAGACATGCTACCAACGATAGTGTATGTCTTTTTATTGTCTTTAGAAAGCAATTTAAAAGAAAGAAAGAACATCAGCACTTCAACATTCGTTAACCCAACAATGTTTCCTGAAAGGTCGATCAGTACATCAACAAGTCCCTTGGATGATTGACGATGGCTATGGATGGTGTTTTCAAAATTGATGTTATTCATACATACGTACTATAACAATGTATTTGACCGAATCCAACATGATATAATACTTCTACTCAAATTGCAAAGCGTTAGTGTCAGTGTTGATTTACTAAGATGGCACTCTTTATATATTAAAATCGTTCGCAAGCTGTTGTAATTAAAAATAAAATCTCAGGATTGTTGGAAGTCCCAATTGGTGTTACACAGGGATCTTTGCTTGGGCCGCAATGATAAATATTGTTATAAGCGCGCACGCTGCGAATACTCGAAAACAGGCCAATTGGAGCGTCTTAAGCCCGTATTACAGAATGACAACTAAGTGTTGATCTTTACTTGAGTACAGTTAGAAAGGGATGTCGCTATGTGCTATATATAGCGACATCCCTTTCTAGCTATGCTCAAGACTAGATCAATCACTGAGAATCTTTCTATAATACGGGCCTTATTAATGATTAATAACTGTTACTCTATGTACAAGAAAACATTTGAAGTTGGACCAAATTTTAAACCCCATTAATATTAATTATTAAAATGTCTGTGAAAAAATGTATATAGAAAGATGTTTGAAATTCTCTTTCTCATTATGCTTTGTAGACGATATAAAAATCTTTGCTCCAGTCTTTTCATTCTCGGATGCAGTTTTCCTTCAGAATAAAGTAAAATAGGACGTTTAAAGGTGTTTTTATCAAATGTTACGTTCTTTTGAAATATAATAATTTGACGGTATGTTTTTTTTTGGTCATTGATCAATATTTGGCTGCCAATAATCTTATTTTAGTCTTTCAATTTAATCTTTAAATTTCGTAAAATTAAAGAAGTAAGCCTTAACTCACTTTTAAATTTAAATAATATACCAACAAAGGGCATTTCATGGACATATTATATTCCGTACTCATAGCTTCACTGGAAATAAGTGGCATAAGCAGCCGGTCAACTTTTAATTATTAGAATATTTGGATTCGAAACGAACGATTAGCAGAATCATTAAAAGGCGATATGGAATTTGTAATATTTAAAGTTTGTATTAAGTGGGTATTTAGAACTCTTTGTAGTGAAACTGCTATGGCTTTTCAATTTATGTATAACGATTTTTTTTATTTTGTTTGAATCCTGGTAGAGATGATTATTTGTGAAATATAAATTTAGAAAAAAAAACTTTGAAGTACTAGCTGTTAACATAAACAATGGTGTCGATTCTAACATGATTCTCTAAACCTAAACTTAAATTTGACAACAGTGTATCCCTGTCATTCTTTGCAGAGAATAAAAAGGAGAGACTGATGTTATTTTAAGTTGAGAGAATCATGCCACAAGCGACACCAATATTAACTTATTTATGTACCTACTCATCTAAACGTTATTTATTGGTCATAGTTTAAGCTCGGTTTCGTTTGGGACTTGGTCATTGTTGTAAGTTTGTTGTAAAAAATAGAAAAATAAAACAACCACATTTTTTTTTGTTACAGACGGCGATATTCACAGTAATATTGCTGCCTTTCCGCGTCATAGTCATTTGTTACCTCATAGTGACTGCTTGGTTTCTCGCTTGTATCGGCCTTTATGGTTTGAGCGAAGAAGATTTGAGGAAAAAGCCTATGACGGGATGGAGAAGGTTGGTTCGTTATTTAAAAATATTCTTATACTTAAGCATTCACTATCCAACTGGCTTGAAAGAGGTCTGTGGTCAGTTTGCTCACTCAAATCACATTAGGTCATTGAACTTAGATTTTCTCTGACTTTTTATTTGTTTTAAGCTTTTTTTTGTGTGTATGTAATTATAACGGTAGTCATCACAAATGTAAGTCACCGTTATTGCATTAGTTACACTAAATAATTACTTTTGACAAATTTCACGTTAGGAAACAATCCAAGGTGCATTTCATACAATGTTACCAGCCATGAAGGTTTTCTGATTGTAGTTCTAACTAAATGAATTTTCAACGATTTCCATTTTTGTTAGTTTAAACAACACCAATGTCAAATCTGTAAGTACTGTAGAAGATAAAAAAAAATATCATTGTGCAAATTCCTTTGTTTTCAATTTATTAAAATTAATAATATTTTTGTTTTATTAAAAAAAATTGTTAGTTATATTATTGGTCCATGGTTAAATCAAAAAAAAAGCAAAACCAATTACAGGTTAACTTGATTCTGACGTCGACTTCAATAAAAACCTTTATAATAATGATTAAGTAATATAGTGAATTAATTATGTTTTTTTAAATACAACGTTATCATATCATACGTCACAATAAACATCATTCATTAATCATCAGTTCCATATAAACTAGGTAGGCAACTACCTAATATATTTTGCACGTTTCATATCAAAAGAATTGCAAGATTTCATTCAAAGTTATATTATTACGACATACCTACATGTTATGCAAACCGGTTCTCGCACACTCCACGGCTTGCACAGTATTTAACTCGACCATTCTTGAACTTTCACAACAATTTCACTTATTCAATTGTAAGAAGCACCTAATTAGAAGAAGCAGAAGTGATTCGACTTCTGTACCCTTAGCATGAACCAATATCGAATTCGAATAGTTTGCGAGTGCGAAATGTCATGTCCCTGTCAAATGTGTACTGATTCTTAGTTCTTAGTTATGTTCGTTATGGCGCTTCAAACTTGAAGCGAAATTCATACAAAATTTGACAATGATAATTCGCACTCACTAACTATTCGAATTCGATATTGGTTCCTGCTAAAGGTATTGTACCCTTAGCACGAACCATTATCGAATTCGAATAATTTGCGAATCCGAAATGTCATTGTCAAATTTGAATTGATTTTTAGTTATCGTTACGTCCTTTATAGCGCTGCTGTTCAAGTTCCCATACAAAATTTGACAATGACATTTCGGACTCACTAACTATTTAAATGCGATATTGGTTCCTGCTTAGGGTTTCCGGGAACTTATGCTAGTGGAAAATATAATTTATGAGATATCTAGCTCCCGGTCTGTGCGTGATATAAGATGGTTAAATTGAACATTTTAAGCAAGACATAATTGTTATTTTTAAATCTGTAAGACAGGATTTACCTATTTTGATTAGCTTAGTTCTGTGCATATAAAGACTAAGCCCGGCTTCGTTATCGAGAATTTTAGTATTGACTCACTATTATTCTCTTGTTATGATAATGTAATGCATTAAACACCATATATATACCAATATGAATAAGTATGAATAAACTCAAATTGTTTTTGAGGGTTTCCCAATTTCAAAGTATACATAGTAACTTATATAGTTTTACTTTCAATTATTTGTTTTTAAGTTTTATAGGTAGGAGGAGGAGGTGTTTTATAACTTGTCACTATGGCAACAATTATTTAGTAAACCATTTCTTTAAAAGGGACAAAAAAATATAAGATAAATTAAGAACTTTATGTAAAAGGAAAGATATGTCCTAATCCTTTTTAGGGATTTATATTCTCATATTTAATAAGAATAAAGATTTAAATTAGACTTTATAGAACTCACACCGGGTGCCTGATTATCTTATTTCTACTCTTTTACGGTTTATATGCACTGAATTTATTTATCTGACGTTTCGCAGCCTTTGCAGGACTGCGTCTTCAGAAAAAAAAATATTATTAGATACAAATATTATTTCTACTCTTTCCGCAACCTCCTTCTAAGTTACCGCGATCCCTTTCAAGTGTCATTGTGGCATAAGTTAATATTCGTCCCATGTAGAAAATGAATGGAATCGTGGAAGGTGTACCATAATTAGACCCTGGAATCTTTTGGCTAACTATGTGCAAGATTTTAGATGTTTGCGATAGTAGAGTATTACTCGCTCACTGCCAATATCGATCCCACCCCCTTGAATATATATACTAGTCCACTGCTGCCTGACTTCTAGAGTGATATTTCAAGCATTTACAGTGCAATGCACCCAACACAACCGCGAGATCAGAGTTAAAGTCAATGTTACGTTTTGCATGCATTTACCTCAAACTAGAATTAGAATGTATGTCAAGCATTCTCCACTGAAGATGTTGAACGATAGCGAGACGATTTCTTCGACGTGACGATGTGACCTTGATGGCATGACAATGACGGCCGAGGTCAAGTTACCTACTAGAATCTATACTATAATAATATTCTAAAGAGGAAAAATTTGATTGTTTGTATTGAGTAGGCTCCGAAACTACTAGGTTTGATTTGAAAAAATCAAATGTTTCACATTCAGAATCCTACATTATCCCTGATGAACATAGGTTATAGAGTATTTTCAAAAAATTTAGGGTTCTGTATGAAGACTTCGATAATGTAACGGAAGCTGTGAAAAAAATATCAAAGAATAACCTTATATCGAGTACCCTGCGGAAGTCATAGACAATAGAGCAAAGTGATGTAGTAAAGTTTTATAAAAAACAACAATAGCTACAAAAAAGTTCACAATTACTGCATATCTAACTATTACAGTTATGTTAATTTTAAAATTAAGTGAGTTAATTCGAGGAAAAAGGTTATAGTGAGTTAAATTTAAAAAGATGTCATATGCTGTCGCGGACTTTTTTAAAGAACTTTTAAAGAGGAACAATTCTATGATACATTATTTTTGTCTAACTTGAACCGTTTACCCAGCGTACGCAACGAAAGCTCACTTATGGAATATTTTTATCCGGTTTTGCAACATTTTTCATTGACACTCCGCTCTTCCTGGCCCGTAATGTTATGTTAAATAGCCTATAGCCTTCCCTGATAAATGCACCATACAACACAAATTTTGTTTTCGAATCGGAAAAAAAATAAGAAACAATATGGCCGATTCAGACTCGTGAAACGCGACGCCACCCGACCCCAAGTCAAAATGTACTAATTTCTATGATCAGAATCGCATTAGAAACATCCAACGCGGCGATTAGTGCAATAATTATGAGTAATTAAAGTAATGGGTGTCAAGGTCACACAAAAACGTCAAGGATATTTTTTCAAAAACCGGTTTTTCTTTTTCCTTCCCTAGTCATTTATGGTCACGGACTAAAAATGTCGGATAATCACGAAAACATAAATAAATATATTATTGTTCAAAGTATCAATAAAAACGAAAAACATTTGGAATATGAGGAATAATATTTAAAAAAAACTCATTACGTTTTATTTCACCATGGACTTAAATTTCGCCTAAATGACAGAAACTCTCGACATTCATTCACTCTATCGTAATTTATATTTGAAAACAATAATGTATGCATGCCTCGCTTGAGGTAATGTACATTTTGTGTAGGAAGTGTGTAGGTAGGTAGGTGTTTAATGTAGGTTACGGAAACATCTTTAGCTCTAAAATAAACAGCATTGAGGAGTCAAGTAGTCAAGCAGACGGAGTTAGAAAATCAATAAGTCATCTCAATCAATTTGTAGGCTTGAGTACAATCAACCGCATACCACCGGGCACCCTGCGATTATTGCTGTTCTTGCGTAGTGCTGGATATTTTATTCGTAAATGAGTGTTATTGGTTATTTTACATATATTCCATAAGTATTTAACTGCTAGATGTTATATTTAAAGAAAATTCAATTTTACTAGAAAAAAAACCACTGGGTCCAGGTATCAGACTGGAGTCGAAGCGTCTTCCGCTATAAGGACGGTTTCAATGCGAAGAGAGGGCGGGCGATCCCTTCCACCTAAGAAATACTTTTGGAAATTTGAATAGGTATTATCGGCTTTATACTGATGTTATAAATGTGTTCACAGTGGTGACGACTTTGGCTTTATTCTCTAAACCTAAAATCAAATTTGACAACAGTATATCCTTGTCATTCTCTATACAGAATGAAAATGAGTGACTGGTGTTAAATTTAGTTTTAACTTTAGAGAATCATGCCGGAATCAGCACCAATGTTAAAATGTACACCACGAGCCTTTGACTGTACTCTATACTATCTGAGAGCGCTGCTATGCTGTATAAATAATAAATTAAACATAATACAAACATCATGTGCTGGGAGCCGCTGGATGCGGATAGCGCAGCACCGCGCATTGTGGCGTTCTACGGGGGAGGCCTATGTCCAGCAGTGGACGGAGAAAGGCTGATGGATGGATGGATGAATACAAACATCTTTAAACCGTTGATCCGTGTATCTGGTATTTCGCTACGTGGATATCACACTAGAAGGTGGGTGGGTAGGTGAGTATAAGTCGCGGCACAAAACTGTAGCGCTGACCGTTACTGCGCAGGAGTAAAAATTTAGATGTGTTGGGGGGAAACCAGGTGCGCGGGTGGGCGTGCGTTGCGCCGATTGGTTCTCCAGTCGTACCCATGCGCAGCTATCCCCTCCGCGTTTTGTTCAGCGCTAGAGTTACGTGCCGCGACCAGTACCCTTAGCACGAAGTAATATCGAATTCGTTTGCGAGTCCGAAATGTCATTGTCAAATTTTGTATGAAAACTTGAACAGCAGTGCCACAAAGTACGTAACGAGAACTAAAATCAGTACACATTCGATACTCAATGAATAGGCTATGCCATAGGCTTCCCCCGATATCTAACATACCGATCGGTCCTATGCTTTAGAAGATCGTGGGTCCCACTTGTATATGGGGTATACTTATTGAGTGTCTTTTCGAGAACCTTTCCTCCCCAACGGGCATCTTT